CCTAACCCTAACCCTTAAAGTGGACTCAATTTGCACTATTTCTCGCAGCTTGCAAAGGCCCGTCTAAGCTATTTCATAGTGACTTGAGAGCCAGTGCAGTGTAGTGGTTTGAGTGTTGGACTACAACTCTGGAGATCAGGGTTCGATTCCCAGCTTGGCCACAAAATCCACAATGTGAATTTGGGCAAGTCATACAGTCTCAGCCTCAGGGAAGGCAGTGGCAAACCTCCTCTGGACAAATCTGACCAAGAAAACCCCATGATAAGTTAGCCTTAGGGTCACAGTAAGTCAGAAATGACTTGAAGGCACACAGCAACAACAACTTCATAGTGATAGAGACAAAAAGGATAAACCTAACTTTTTTTGGTTTTTGCAAATTTATTTATTTATTTACAAACAAACAGTTATATACAAAACTAAAACACAAAAGACAAACACTAAACACAAACATACAATGACTAACAAACAATGTACAAGTATTATTTTCTGAACTTTATATGCAAAATTATAGTAGACTTCCCCATTGTACTGACCTTCTATTAACTTAGGGTCATTACAGACTGCCAGAAATAATGCCGCTTGAGGCCAATTTAACTGCCCTGGCTCAGTGCTAAGGAATCATGGGAACTGTAGTTTATTGTGGCACCAGAGCTCTCTGACAGAGAAGGCTCAATGTCTCAGAAAAAAAATACAATTCCCATGATTCCCTAACACTGAGCCAGGACAGTTAAAGTGACCTCAATCTGCATTATTTCTTGCAGTCTATAAAGGCCCTTAATATTCCTGACTCCTCTTCTAAGAACATATTTTAAGGACTCCTAGGTCTTTCTCACTTTATCCTCCTATAATAAAAGTTTAGATCAATCTTTTCATCTTGGTTCACTGTAACCTATACCATTGCTGTTTTAGAGCTGATATAAGACAATGCGCATAGTTCAAACCTTGTTATTTGATTGCCGTGCAGAGGGGCGGGCTATAAACAAAAAATTATTGTTGTTGTTGTTGTTGTTGTTTATACCTTATTTCCCATTTACAAAAGCATATAAATTCCATTATCCTGATAATCACACTTTCTTACCAAGGGCTATATTCTAACTTTTTAAATAAAGGGCATATCATCATTGGGGGACTCAAGGCCTTTGGGGATGTCATGGGGGGACAGACCTCAAAAATTAATATTCTATCTGACCCTTTGATAGGAAGAACTTTGGCTCCGCAAATCTTTGTGGAATGTGTGGATTGTTTTTGTGCCCACTTACAAATTCACGGAAGTGTAACGTTTTGTGGTTTTATTCAATTTAGATCTGGTCACTGTCCATGCACACATAGACAAATAACATTTTTAGAATGCAACCCCCCAAAAAAGATGGAGAGTTAATGTCTATTACATGGGCAGAATACGCCTGCTTGAGTTGCTTAGCAACCGGTGTGCGGCAGTGTGTGTCTGGATGGCAAAAAGGGGATTGTGTTGACGGAGAAGAGGTAGCTGTGTCAATTCAGGTGGGTGCGCGATGGGAATGCTCCATTCACTTCTCGTCTCTGAAAAAGCCACGAGCGGCTCTTGCAAGGCAAACTGGCTTCTGGTGAAGAAAGAAGATGGGACCAGAGAGGCGTTGGCAAAATAAAGAGAGGTGAGAGTGGGCAAGGATTTTGCAAAGGCCCTCTGTCTCTGAGCCAGCCTCTGAGACTTGGCCTGAGCAAAGTTTGTGGGATGGTGACACCCAAGAGCATTGCTATGCAATGGAGCATTTTGTGCATTTGATCCAAAGTCTGTTCCAACAACAACTACTACTACTACAGCAATCCACCACCACCACTGCCGCCACCATCATCTCCATCAAATAGTGAATTTTAAGCACAGCATCAGCCTACTGAAGCAGTTGAGGAGGAAGACCTTAGAAAATGCCATTGGGAATTGGTTAAGACAATGTCATTGCTCAGATTCTGTTTCTGAATCAAGCTGTTCTTTCAGAAAAATTGGTTGGCTTTTCTTTCCTCACAGAGGCAGAGGTTTCCAAAGGTGTTCCAGCAATTTTTGGTGCCCGTCAGTCGGGTAAGTAAAATGCAGATTGTAATGTTTATAGTCAACACATATGGAGTTGTCTGCTGTTTTGTGGGGGCTGTATTTAGACTACGGATGTCTTAATTATCAAAAATATTGGCTAGTTCCATACATGTTTTCTGCTCCATAAGTGATATGGTGCACTATTGGCTTAAAAATTTGTCTTTACGAGATTTCCAAGTCTGTGTGTGAGATGACTTTTGCGGTCACCTTTGCTGAAGGTTTAATGTATGAGAAATCTAGCTTTCTTAAAGAGGTCATGAATGCAAAACTGTTGCTTACTTGAAGTAAACCAATGGCATCCTGGTTACAATCAGCCCTGGATCAATTGGCATTCCTAAACACATCTTTGAGACTCTTTGATTTGTTCCACTTTTTAACATCTGATTTTTTAAAATTGCATTTCTAGCCTTTTCAAACATTGATACACCTTCCTCATATAAATCATACAGTGCTTTCCAAAGATTGATGCACCTTCCTCATATAAATCATATACATCATGATCATAATTTTAGAAACAACTGATAACTTCACACCAGGTGTGTGTCACCAACTTTTCAAGTGAAGATATATTTTTTTGTGGGTTTTTTCGGGCTGTTTGTTTCAACCATTGAGTGAAAGGGTAATTATATAATTCTTCATAGAGTCCTTAGATAAACTGTGGAATTTATGCTATAAAGTGTGTAGAGATGACCACCAAAATGGATAGCTTTAAAAAGATATTAGAGCAGGGTGGCGAAGCTTTTTTGGTCTTTTGGTGAAATACCAATTTCAGAAGAGTTAGAGGGGTTCATTCTGGAGGTAGGTGGTCTTAAGGATATAGGGAAAGGACCAAGGACAAGAGTAAAAATATTTTTAAAAAGGTCAAAGCAAAGACCTTCAGGTGTGATTCTAGACATTTCTACCACCTGCCTGACTTATAAATAAAGCTCTGCTCAGTTACAGCCCTGTTTACACAAGAGTAACCCAATGTATGACAGCTTTTAGGCATTCAAAACATCTCAGTCCTAGCTTTAGGAGTAATGTGTAACAGTGCCATGTAACAGCTTTCAGGTATACAAAGCAAAGCTCACTTCCCTCCATGTCTACTCAGAAGTTTAAATGTCCATTTAAAGGTATTTAAAGAGCAGGATATTTAAAGTTTAAATGCAGTATACCCTCTTATCTCCAACCACTGACTGGAGATAACTGCAGAATTCCCAAGCATGATTAGGTGAGATCATACTAAGGCTGTTTTTAAATGCCTCCAAACATTGTTGTCATGCACCTTTAAATTATTTCTGACTTATAGTGACCCTAAGGTGAATCTGTCACAGGTTGGCAAGATTTGTTCAGAGGTGATTTGCCTTTGCCTTCCTCTGAGGCTGAGAGTGAGTGATATGCCCAAGGTCAGTAGGTTTCTATGGCTGTCCTGGGATTCAAACCATTGTCTCCAGGGTCTTATTCCAATGCTCAAGCCACTAGACCATGTTGGCTCCTCCAAACATTCCCTATCCCTTTTCTGATGATTTTGTGCTACAAAACCTGAAGACTATTTTATAATTTTCAGCTTGGTCCTAATAATGCAGGCATTTTCCTGTTGCTTGGTTTTAAATTTCAAATGGAACAAAATGACTGCAAATGTTGCATAAGCATTCCTACTAATTTTGAAGTTTTATTTTCTGGACTTTTTGCATGATAAAATAATGGATTATTGCAAAACAATGTGTTATTTCTGTAAAGTCCATTTTACTCGTAGGTTCATATACCTCAAGCAAATTCACTAGATGACTTAACATTCCTGCCCATTGATAGATAGACATGGTAGTATGGTCCAATCAAAAACCCACAAAACAGTGATAGCTTTATTGGCTAACCAAAATGCACAATATCAATGTTGCAAGCTTTTCAAGCTCCACTGGCTTCTTCATCAAGCAAGGTGTTACAAACCAAACAGGAGAAAAACATTTAAGATATTAGTGATAGGCCTGCATTTTGCTGTTTCTGTTCTTAGGACTTTATCACACGGGGAAAACGAAGTATAAATGGTGATTAACCTATGATTAACCTGCAATTGCACAAATGGTTTTCACACAATGCTGCGTGCAAATGCTATTATCCTGTGAATAACCCATGATTAACCCGCAATTGTGCAAATGGTTTTCACATGACATC